TCTTTAACCCTGAGAGTAAGATAACACTCTAGATTAGTCAAGAGATGTCAAAGCATGTCCTTTGAGACATGCTAAAAATTATCATGCTGGACTTTGGTGAAATGGGAAATAGATCTACAGTAAATAAGATTAATTAACATCTTGACTATAAGAACATAAGAACGGCCATACTGGGTCAGACCAAAGGTCCATCTAGCCCAGTATCCTGTCTTCTGACAGTGGCCTATGCTAGGTGCCCCAGAGGGAATGAACAGAACGGGGAATCATCAAGTGATCCATCCCCTGTCGCCCATTCCCACCTTCTGGAAAAAAGAGGCTAGGGACACCATCCTTGCCTATCCTGGCCAATAGCCACTGATGGACCTATCCTATAGCATGGTGATAGTAATACAAAGCATTATTAAATAAGCTGGTCACTGTCTAAAAATAATTGATGTACTTTCTTAGAAATGATTAGAACATAAATGGAAAGATTAGATTAAATTCAAAATATTCAGTGCAATTATGTTCAACTTAAAAGGGCTCTAGCAGAGGCTCACTGCTAACAAATGTTAAGACAGATCACATCGCTGTCATGTACAAAACATTCTAATGGTATCTTTGTTTTACAAATGGAGACATATGCTCTTTACATTCAGTGCGCTAGTGCGTCACGATCCATTGCAATCCTATTATCATTACAGGTGGGGTTTCTTTCATTAACAAACTTTAATACTGTTTCCCAAAACCAAAGATCTAAGATATTCACTAGAAAACAAAAACATTACTGACCCACCTCAAGAAATAAGAGCCTGCTTTCTACATAATTTAATTTTAAAATTATTTCTGTAGCTTAAACTGGTTAACCCCCCCCCCCCAACCCTCCAGAAACAAAACCTGGCATATGAAACATTATTTTTCCTAGACTGAAAACTTCTAGTTTTTTCAGAATGCAATGTAAACAACCAGAGAGGAAAACTGGGATCTATAGTGGAAGGTACTCTTGCTGATACTGAGTTGTGAGTAACCCATTGAGTTTTGATTCTCCATTAAATTCTGTTAAATCTTGTCATTTTATGTGTTTTATAGTGTCATCGACATTTTAGTTACTAATGCTTTTTGCTGAGTTTGAATATCTTTAATCTATCAGTTTACCAAAAGCTATTTGCTTTTACCAAATAGCTTGATTTTCTTGACATAATGTATTTTCAGCTATACGGTTACAATCTTCTGTTTGAATTAAAACCAAATATAGGCATGTTTTAGATAAGAGGGGAATTACAGTACATGTAGAAAAAGATTAAGCTCAAAATATTCAGTGCAATTATGAATGGATGTAAGATAACCATAAATTGAACAATAGCTTCATTATAAAGCTAAATATCAAAATTAAGCTTAAAACACAAATATAAAATCCAAACAATCAAAATATTTGCTTGCATTCCAAAGGTGGGTTCTTAAGTTTTTTATAGAAATCACAATGCGTGGGTTTGTGGTTTTGCTGGAGCCTGCTTGATTTTGACTTGACTTGTCACTTTGCCATTCCTAATCCCCACATCCCAGGATGGGAGTCTGCCAAATTCTGTTGTGCTGGCTTCTTGTTGTTAGTCCTGTCTAGGCCCCCAGATCACTGCAGTGCCTGCTCCTCTGGCTTCCAACATATTAATGGCCCTGAGTATTTTACTTCATTGTTTTGTATTATCTTTCAAGCTGGGCTGAGCATTGAACATGACAGTAGGTTGGGCTCACTTTTTGGCCCTGTCTACCATTGCTAACACTGGCTCAGCTCCATCCATGTTCAACAGTGTTGGGAGTTTCAATGCAAACAGCCACCAGCATTAAGCATCATATCATATAACACCCCTCAGAGCAGGCCTACTCAACACAGTGCTTAAAACAGCAGTGACAAGCAGTGACCCATCTAGACTAGGGCCTCAACCTTGCTAGCACTGATTGTGCTGGACCAATGTCCATATCACTGGGAAAGATTATAAAAATGTCCCTGGTATAGATAGGATCTTGTTCTGTCCCAGCAGTTTAATAGGCTTTATCAATGGAAGTACCTTAAAAAGTACAGTGACTGCAATAGCTTGATGAGCTGGGACAGTTCCAGAGATCTTTAGAGATGTATTTGAGATCTCTAACTGAAGTTTATGGGGAAAACGTATCAGAAGTCACCAGTCTATAAGGTGCTTCTTGGTTCTCAATATGCTAGCCAGTAGTAGTATGGGTTTTTTCTAAGGTTTCACTACAGTTTTACAAGCTACCAGGTCATTTGTAGGACATATTGCCAGAATTTAAACATTTTGCTCCTTTAACTTTTAAGCTTGAAGATACAATAGCAATAGTTGTCTTGTCAGTCTATTAATACCAAATATAGTGATTTAACAATAGCTTTAGTTAGCTGATGCAATTGTCCATAACTTTTTATATAGGAAAATAGGATATAGGGAGAGCCAAATTAAAAGTAGAAATTTAAGACTATTGGATATTAGAGGAAATCCATGATGTTGAACCAATGCTAGGAATGACGGATTTTTATTTAAAAACTAATTGTATTTAATACATTTTGACGTGTAGCAAATTGGAAACCCTGTTAAACATTGAAAAAGAATATAGATTCTTAACATATGATGTATATCAGTTTAGTTTAGGCAACCCTAGTGTCAGAGATAATCCATCTCAGAAGTGCATGATGGATGTCTGATGTTGAGTGTTTGACTGTTTCTTCCAGGTACTTTGTATTTCAAGTTTGAAGAGAGGAATCCACACTTCCCTGAACTGTTGACTCCTGCTAGAGGATCTTCTCTCACAAGTAAGAGTATTTAGAAAAAGCCCTTACCCCAGAACCCGCTACACAGAGAAAGAAAAGATATTTGCTGGTGTTTAAGCAGTACAGTGAAAATAGACCAACTGGGAGAACAGGAGAAAAATGAGAGAGAGGTTGCTTTTGAAGATCTTTACTAAGGAAATTGCCCTGGTCAGCTGAAGAAACCTGAAATAAGATGCAGAGGGAAGATACTGCGGGAGAAAGAGAGAAAGCTGCGAAAGCTTCTTGGAGTTTTCAGGGCTATAAAAACCGTGCTGCTGAGAAATTCAGTACAGATAGCAGAGGTTATTGTGAGAGAGGAGTGCTCTGCTAGGCCACAGAGTTCCAAAGCTGTAGCCTGGAACAGAACAACGTGACTGTAGATAACACAGCATCTGAGAATTTAAGGGAGCCTAGGGTAGCATCTCAAATTTGATGTTTTGTTTGGTTGTATATTGTATTTTGTTGTCTGTAATAAGAAGTCACCACAGTGTGAGAACTAGACCATCCGGTTCAGAGGCTAGGTCATCAGATCAGTTTCTGCTCCTGCTGCTACCACTAACATGCTGTGTGAATTTGCTTAAATCACTTCTACCTGTGACTCAGTTTCCTCATCTGTAAAATAGGGGTGATACTTACCCGCATTTGTAAAGTGCTAGATGAGAGTTGATGGTGTTCCTTTCATTATCTGTCCAGTTAGCATACAATCCCTGCTCCATCATTTTGATTGCAGGACTTAAGTAAAGATATTGTGACTTGATTTCTGCCAAGTCAACGACTATTTTTATTCTCTCAACCTCACTCACAGTTTAGATTCTGAGCTTTGACTAGACCCTTCGCTCCTAACCCTATCTTAACATGAGTCTGTACAATTCCAATATGGAAGCTGGTCCACATTAATGATCTACTAATGCATTAACTGAACATATGTCAGGAGACAATAACATTGCCACAAATGAGGGCGGGGAGAGAGATAGGGGGACTCCTGGTAGCTGACTGTCATCATCACTGGCCTTCAAGGGAATTTGTGTTGGTTTTCATTTCATGTTGTCAGACCCCTGCTGATCGGTGTTTCCAGGTTTCAGCAATGGTACATACAGTCTGAGTGCCTGTTTTCATGTCATTGTACTGAGGAGACAAACATAGTTTATTTTCAGTGTTCTGTATTTCCTGATGTTCAGAATTTGGAGTATATTTCGTTCTGAAGCAATGTGTGAAAAATCTTTTTCTGTTGCCTAATATGTAAAGGCAACAAAACATTATTCAGGATCAGCGGGAGTCATTTCCACTTTAGAGGATCACTTGCTTCTCTGTGTGAACATTTAAGGACACATCTACATGACAAATTTACATCAGAATAACTATATCCGTCAGGGGTGTGAAAAATCCACCCCCCTGAGTGACGTTGTTATACTGACCTAACCCCTAGTGTAGACAGCGCTATTTCAACAGGAGCGTGTCTCCCATCAACATAACTACCGCCTTTCGTGGAGGTGGATTAACCATGCCAATGGGAGAAGCTCTCCTTCTGGTGTAGCAGCATCTTCGCTGAAGTGCTACAGTGACACAGCTACACTGGTGCACCGCTGCAGTGCTGTATGAGTAGACAAGCCCTAATATGTGTTAAGATCTGTTCCCTTGATTCCTGTATGCCTGAGTTTTCTCCCTGGTGAAAATTACTCAAAATAGTTAAAACCAAAGCTGACAGTAAAGAGTTACAAAGCAATCTCACTAAACTCGGTGATTGGGGGACAAAATGGCAGATGAAATTCAATGTTAATAAGTGCAAATGAATGTATAGTGGAAAAAATAATCCCAGCTATTCATACAAAATGAGAGTCTAAATGAGCTGTTAACACTCAACAAAGAGAGTCATTGTGGATAGTCCTCTGAAAAATATGAAGTGGCAGTCAAAAAAGCTAACAGAATGTTAGGAACCATTAGGAAAGATATACATAGTAAATCAGAAAATATCATAATGCCCCTATTTAAATTCATGGTACATGTACACCTTGAATACCGCATGCAGTTCTGGTCGCCCCATCTCAAAAAAGATATATTAGAATTGGAAAAGGTACAGGGAAGGGCAACAAAAATGATTAGGGGTATAGAACAACTTGGAGGGATTAACAAGATTTAGGCTGTCCATTTTAGAAATGAGACAGCTTAGGGTGGATGAGATAGAAGTCGACAAAATCATGCATGGTATGGAGAAAGTGAATAAGGTAGTGTTATTTACCCCTTCACATAACACAAGAGCCAGGGGTCAGCCAATGAAATTAATAAGCAGCGTGTTTTAAAACAAACAAAAAGAAGTACCTCTTCACACAATGCACAGTCAACCTAAGTATAAGTGGGTTAAAAAATAATTAGATAACCTCATGGAGGATAGGTCCATCAATGGCTATTAGCCAACATGGTCAGGAATGCAACCCTATGCAGGTGTCCCTAAACCTTCAACTGACAGAAGCTGGGTCTGGATGACAGGAAATGGATCACTGAAAATTGCCCTGTTCTGTTCATTCCCTCTGAAGCATCTGGTACTGGCCACTGTCGGAGACTGGGTAGATGAACCATTGGTCTGACCCAGTGTGGTGATTCTTATCTTCTTATTGCCTGCAATGGGCTCCCTTCACATAAAGTGCCCCTGGCTTTTAATCAGAGCCCTGCAAAATCTGCAGATATCCGCTTTAAATCTGCGGATATCCACATTGGCGGATGCGGATATCCGTGGACCATGTTTGCGGATCGTGGATCAGATGCAGATATCCTAGGAACTTACAGCAATGCAAGATATTACTTGTTGTTATTTCTTTGGTGGCCACAAGTGACTGGCAATTCCACAGCCCAACATTGTTAATATTGTATTTTAACACAAAAAACCATATATTATTATGATCGGCTATAAAGAGAGAGGTCATACCAATAAGGCAAATATTTTCCAAGAGAGAGGGACTTTCCATTCAGGTTGCTCATGTAAGTCTTTGAGTAGCAATGGCATTTAAAATTGCCATATGTTACAAGTGTTAATTTGGCAATTTTTGTGCTTATCAGAAGAACCTGTTTGAAAAGATTACTTCGTTACATTTCTGTGATGCTTTGGAGGCAGTGTGGGTACGCCATGTAGCTACATATTCATTTTTGTACACAATTACACAGAATTCTGTAATAGGTTGAGGTCCTACACATATTATGATTTTGCCTTGCAGCATTGGAACCTGTATTTTTTTCTTTCTGTTCACACCCCAAACTCTTAAAAAGCCACGTAAGTGGTGACTTCCATCTACACATGGCCTAACAATTTCCCCATTTAACTCAACCAAGAACACACACCACAGGCGTCACAAATTGATACCCATACTTTTGAAGCACTTTATAGCATGGAACCTTTTTACCTTACGATATTTTAAGTCCACTCCAGCATAAGGTTTTGTCACGGAATCATTGATGAAAGAAAGCAAGTGCTGTCACAGGGAGAAACTGGCATTTAAGTAAAAAAAAAAAATTCCTTTTTAATAAAAATTGATCTGCACTGAAATGGAGATCAGAAAAAGAGGTCATTTAAAAGAATTTATTTGCTAAAGAGTTCAAACTATTCTGCTTACAAAGGGTGCTTCAGGGACACAAGAAGGAGTTCAATATAATTTTTGTATTTTACTTGTATTTAATCTTTGGGTTTCCCTCATCAAGTCTTTCCTAAAATAAGTATTTCAACTGATGGCTATTGCTATAATCAAAATGAATGTAGTACCTGAGTTGCAGATGTATTGTTGATTAACGAGGACTACAATGTTTTAAATCTCCTCACTTCATTCAAACATTTTAATAGTGCACATTAACTGCTGCATTGCTTTGAGTTGATGGCTTTATTGAGCTATCCATAGCCACTGTTTTTAACCTGAGATGGTCTGGCCAACCCAGAGTCCAAAATTGTGTGTGAAAATTGAGTAGGCATTACTTTCATCTTACTAATATTAAATTTGATCCACTATCTGCTTTCCCAATTACCAAATATGGTTAGGGTTTTCTTGAATTCCTAATAAACCTCTCTTTCGATACTGAAAAGAGAAGACTGTGTATCAATTTCTGACTTATAATAACAACCCTATCAAGGCAGCAAAGATTCCATAGTAGTAAGAGTTTTATTGTCCAGTATCACTAGATTGTCTTTTCTTGCTTACTGACTTCTAGTAGAATAGATAGCCAGGAACATTCTCTTTGCTTGTTTTAGCCTCAAATCTCATAACTAAGATCTGGTAGAAACTGACTAAATATACATGGTTACAACACTGCAAACAATTTTGTCAATTAATTTTGCACTCGTTGAGTCTTCACATTTATTTTTCTGTAAAAATAAGTAAATCTTTGGGGTTTTTTAAGAGCTCCAAAATTTCAAATTAGGTTGTGAAATCCACATTTCACTATACATTTTATTCTTGAGATTATTCAAAAAATTTTACAGAAGTACCAAGGCAGCCATTTTGGCTAACAATCACAATGATCTAAATCTTAAAACTTTTGTGGGGGGAGAAGGCTACTCCTCTTACTAATGCCCCTTGAGAAAAAGCTATGTTAAATATGGACTAAATGCAGGGCTAAGAGGCAACAGGTTCCAAATTCAGAGTTACTAATTCCTGTGATTGCAAGTCTCTTTAAGGTTGTTTAAAAACAAATCATGACATCAGGGAAAGCTGAGGATTTTCTTGTAACTCAACATTAACCCCCAGTGTGTGCCCTTTGTGAGTGACACCGCACTGCTCTTGCTTGCCAGGGGAATGGAGACCTACAGAGGAGTATGCAGTCTTCTGCGGATTATGTCTGCCTCCATAAATGAAGGAGGTTGTGAGGGTTTGCTTCCTCCAACATACACTTGGTCCTCCAAACCCATTCTCTTATGGGTCTGTTTGATAGGAAACTGTGATTTTTGGTTTGCCTGAGCATTATCCTGCAGTAAAGGAATATTTCTGCTTTTTATTAGTTACTGATATAGGGATGCTTCCTCACTTCTATATCACCAGTAATCTTTTGCGTTACAAAACATTGCAAACCCTTTTCAATCTTCCTTATAATAAGCCCTGATTCAGTGCCATTAAAGTCAATGGGAGTTGAAGCCCATAATTTATAGAGAAATGGTCTTGTAACATGTCCACAAACTTAATCAATGTATTTCTCCTCTTTACTGTGTATTGCTTTGAGATCCTCATACCTACTAGTTTTCCTTATACCTTTGTAATTCTTGCTGCTCCTGCTGTTCAAGCAGAATGTAGAATATTCTACTATTAGTTTATTCCCTCTTCTTTTGCATATTTTCAATTGATTCTACTTGATAATTAGTTCTTTCAGAGTCTCCTATCCTCTGTACAAACCCTTTTTCTATATGGACTATTTCCTTACCGTTTAGCTCTGTCTTATCTTGTATTCCTCACTATTAGAACTTTTTTTTTCTTTGAAGCTACAGGTTCATCAAGCCATGATGTCACATGGTACTAGGTGAGTGCATGGGAATATATGTGTGTATATTAACATTGTTCTGATATGTGCAATTCTGTGCATTTCATTTGTGTTGAGTTGTTCAAGTGTTCTCTACATAGGGAGTGCAGAGTATCTCTTCCTAATCCCCTACAAATAATCAGTTTAAATCCTGAAGTCTCTTCTTAGTTTGCATAACTGTACAGGTAATAAGGTAGTCCATCACTTTTTAAAATCCCAGCAAAGTCCCTCAGATGTTTGTTGATTGTGTGGTGGGGGTAGGGCCGGGGAGGAGGAGACAGTTACACAATCTCTTAATAGTTCATGGAGGCTGTTGAAACCAAGCATTCACTCTCTAGTGGCTCATTATACTGCATCCACAGCACTCCCAGGCCACGACAGGCCCTGGGGCTAGACCAGGACTGAAAATGGAAGTTTAATCTCCTGGATAGTAGTGTCGGTTGTGTTTGGGGCAAAAAGTTAAAAACTGAATTCTGTGGTCTGAAAATTTTAATGCATCAAGGGGGGAAAAAAAGCACCTCATGTACTTCTAGCACCAAATCTGGTGCATGAGACTCAGACTGACACAAGATAATAGCTTCTTAAAAAGCGATTATGATCTATCAGCTCAGTAAACAAGTTAATAAAAAGGGGATAAATATGGATTCATATTGTACAAAAATATGTATAACAAACTAGGCATTTTCCAGGATAAACATTATTTGTTTTTACTCAATTTTAAATCTCTATTTTACATGATAGACCATAACAGAATTTCTAGGTACATGTTGAACATGAATTTCACATAAATGTATTTACCCAGTATACTAGTATACTCCAAAATATGTTTATTACTTAGACCAATACACGCATATTTCTAGGCCATCTTAAAAACTGCCTTCATATTTATCTAAAGCTCCTGTTCTGGTGCATCATGTAAAATAATATTGTAACTTTAAAAATGCCTAAATATTATGTAGATTTAACCACAGGAGATGTTAGGGGCTAATATTATCCTTTTTACAAGTCTTTTAAAATTAAAAGTAACATAACACATGCTGCCTACCAGACCATTAAGTTCAAATTTTAACTCCAAATAACAGCAGAGATTGTGAAACAAACCAGCCCAGAAATTCAAAGTTAAAACTGCTGTATGTTCCTCACTCAGTTTGCTTTCCTATAATTATTTCCCCCTCTCACTATGAAGTAAGTTTAGGATGGAGCATCAATTGTAACTCTGAATACCTTAATTTTGTGTTTGTGTTTTGGATGAAACACGTTTTTACTTTGACATTTCCATATTTGCTATAAGTTTACACAAGAATAAAAACTTCAAAATTCCAATGTTTCTTTATGGTCCATAGTATAAAAATTATTATTTTCATGATGGCCAAATTAAAACAGGCAAATGGGAAATAAAATGCCAGCAGTATGAACCATGGTTATTGACAATCAAGTCCTCACATTGTATCCACAGCATATTTTATAAAATAAACCCCTGTTGCCAATAGCATTTCTCCTCTGTTTAAGTTCTCAGAGACCAATGAGTTTTATAATTATCTCCAAACTATTTTCTCCAGAGTTACTTAAGCTCTCTCTAAACAGCTGGGTGTGCTGCCATGCAATATCACCATCCCCTCCACTTAGTTCAGCTTCCAAAATAACTTCTGTTGCATCAGAGAAATCTGAATAGGAGCGAAGAATTTTATCTGTTGGGGGAGAAAAAAACCACAAACAATTAAAGTTCTGCCACAGATAATTTATATTGCTAGAATACATGTTCAAGAGGCAATTTGTAATGAACATTAAAGTGTCTGACTTGCAGATAATCAAATATATCTTCTAATTCAAATGGTGGAAAAAGTCCACTGCAAATTATTATTTATTATTTGTATTGTGGTAGTCTCCAGAAGCTCCAGTCAGGATTGGGTGCCCCATTCTGCTATATGATGTATGAATATAAAGACAATCCTTGCTTTGAAGAGCCCATATATATCCTGTATCCACATCAGGTTTTGCTAGATCCTAATTTTATTTTCCCCAAATATGGAAAAATGTGGCAGGTGAGAGCTGTATATTGATTGTTCTCACATATTTCCTTATCCTTGGCAAAAAGCTTGAGTGGGAAAAGGTTAAAATGCAACTGCATTTTAACTTTCTTTATTGCTTACGTTGTTTCTCCAACCTCCACTTCCCAGCGTACTAGTGCATTGCATTTTCATTAGCACGTATACCTCATGATTTAAAAAATGAAATCAATCAGATTTCACACTTACCTCCAGTCAGATCAACTTCTGCTATGTTGGAGCGCAATCTCCACCTTATTCTTCCACTGTGAAATGTCTGACTGTTCGTTCTAATGGAAATGTTGTCTATTTTTAGACCAACTGACCCACACTCAAACTTCCAGCAGATGTAAGAAGAGGATGACCCTTCTTTTCGGGCTAAATAAACCTAAATGGAAAAACATCATGGTTAAGGTATTGAAAGATGGATGCTGAGCCCAGATCAAATGAAATGTCTTTATAAGGGCACTAAACCTTCGCGTAAAAAAACTTAGTCTTTATTAAGTCATTGAAAAATAAGTTTGTACACAATAAAACTTTGCACAGAATCTCCTTCTAATACCTTATTCCTGTTTTTACAGTGATATTGGGTAGCTGTACATTTTCAGTGGAGTTTACTTCATTGAAATAGTAGGGGAAGATCTTTAATGTGCTGCATGGTATTTTAGCGACATAGACACATACTGTTTTAAGTATGTAGGGTTCTGCTTTTAAGTAACTACAATGGGCCAGATTTTCCATCCTGTTTTGGCTCCTTTGCCCTTCTATGGTAGCACAAATGGGATGGGAAAGCTTGTGTAACAAATAAAGAGATGTGTGGGACTCCTCAACTGGTGCAGCTGGCTTTGTGCCACCCTTTCTAGGCCTTGGCATGCCAGCAGTCAGAGAGGGGATGACTAGAGTCCACTACACTCCAGCAACCCCAATCACTGTAATGATCTTTTGGGGCCATCAGCAGCTTAGAGTACACCTGAAGTTTCCTGCCTATATTACATAGCCTCCTTATTTGTGCCTACCTGTTTATACTGCTACCCTTTACTGAAGGAACTGCAAGCAGTCTGAATCTAGAAGGTTAAAATCCAGTTTACATTCTCACCCGAGTGCAATTTTTTTGGAAGATGGTTAGTGTAGACTGTAAGAAAGAACCTGAGGATACAAGGTTTTAAAAATCTGATGATTTTAGATGAACAGGTTCTTATGTTGCTCCTTACATTGTGCTTATTAGCACCATGTGCTGCAGACGGTTCAGGGGGAATTTGGCCTATTAAATCCTAGTTTTCTTCAGCTAGTTGGGTCTAATTCTATGAAGTTTTACCTCAGGGACATGTTCGTTTACAGCACTGCAGTATAAAAATAAGGTGGTGATTACTGCTAATCAGGATACTAGCTAAAGGATCAGCAAATCCACTTTACCTGCATCAGTTTGCCTTTCTTATCTTTCTGCTTTGCACTGCAGTTGGTATTTCTTCTCTACAGCTTGTGGACTGAGATCCATAGTTAGCTTTAGGGTAAAAAACAGTTACCTACCTTTTGTAACTGTTGTTCTTTGAGATGTGTTTCACATGTCCATTCCGATGTAGGTGTGCAAGTGCACCGAGCACAGCTGTCAGAAATTTTTCCCCTAGTGGTATCCGTCGGCTTGGCGCTGGTGCCCCGTGGTGCAGCGCACTCATAGAGCCGGTATAAGGGGCCCCCACCAAGCCTGGGGAGGTCTGTCTTTGTCTTTGACTTTGTTCATCACTTCCCACATGTTGTAATCGTAACGACCCAGCAACACCTGCTGGTTCACTATCCCCAACTGGAGTCCCCCCATCAAATAGACCTTCCTACCCAGAAGGTCCATTTTCCTGGGCTCCTTTGGATTGGGGGTAAATCTTATCTGACCTTGGTGCTCCTTTTTGTTAGCAGCCGCCACAATGAGGGACCCAAGAGGGGGATGAGAGAACAAGAACTCACAGCCTTTTGCGGGCACAAAGTATTTTCTTTCTGTTCTCTTTGCTGTGGGTGGAATGGAAGCAGGAGTCTGCCAAGTGGCCTTAATAGGTCCCAAAATGGATTTGTGTAAGAGCAGGGCCACCTTCGTAGGGGCTGTGGCCAACAGAATGTCTAGGAACCCATCTGATGGTTCCTTAATGACCTCTGCCTGCCAGGGTTAGAGGCCACCCACTTTAACAAGTCTTGGTGGGCCCTTACATCGTCCTGTGGGGGGGAGAGCCCCTTGAGCATGAGCTCGTCCTGTTGAGATGATGAGGAAGAGATGTGCACTGCCATAGTGTCTACTGCAGCCTGTTCCCGAGGCACAAGAACTTGGGTACTGGTACTGGTTCCAGTACTGGCATCAGTACCAGGGAGTATCCCTGCCTGGGCGCCGGTGCTGGGACCTACTCCGGCATCAGGACTGGTACAGGGGGTTGGATCCAGAGTTTACCTGTGCGCCCCTGGTGCCACAACAGTCTCTGAGCGCACCAAGTAGGAGCATCGTGAGCTGGTCCCTTGGCCTGGGGGAAGACCACACAGGTTCCAAAAGCCCCATTGTAGGGATGCCAGACGCCATGGGCCCAGCGCCTTGGGTCATCCATGCTCCCGGCACTCCCAATGATAGCATTGTCTGTGGAGACTGACACAGAGTCTCCTTTCGGTGCCGGTGTCTTGAATAGTTGGATCCCGAGTCTGAACTTGATGAAGATGACGATGTGTAGGTGGAGGACTGTGGTGACCATGGTGGGACCGATCCTCCCGGTGCTGGAGATCAGTGCTGTGGAGACATCTCTGAGGAAGCAATGAAGGGGGTTTCCCCCTGGAGGTTGGTCTTGAAACTGGCTTAAAGGTAGTCGATGCCGCGGTGCCACTGAGTGGTGCCACTGGTGCCGCATCCTATCTCCCATCTGGGCTCGGTATCGACAAAGTCATCAGCTCATTAGCAGCTGCACAGGCTTCTGGGGTTGAAGGCACTGCAAACTGGTCTGCCCAGTGCCAACCATCTGGTTGGTTGAGTACTACTGGGGTCTGCGGTGCCGATGCTTCTGCCAGTGGTTGCCGCAGTGCTGGGGAGGGAGAGCGGCCCAGCACGGATCTCACTCTATCCCGATCTGCTCGCTTGTCTCCCTTCAGTGCCAGCGAGCAAGTCTTCTCCGGTGGCCTCAACGTTTCTTCTTCCGTACCAGTGAGGAGGACCAGTGCCGAGAGCTCTTAGCCACCAGCAGAGCACTTTGTACTGACGCCGAAATATTCGATGCCAAGTCTGATCTCTGCTCTGTCTCAGCGCCGCCTCCATAAGTAGGACTTTCAACCTTGCTGCTCTGTCTTTCTGTGTGTGTGCTTAAATTCCTAGAAGATGTTACAGCACTCTTTCCTGTGACCCACTCCCAAACACTTGAGACAACTCAAGTGAGGGTAACTAGTAGGCACAGGTTTGCCACACGAAGAACACTATTTAAACCCTGGTGCCCGAGGCATGCCCCAGTACCGGGGGAGGGTCAGAGCACCTCTCCGGGCACGGAGAGGAGTCCCAGTCCTATACTATGACTATTTAAATGTACTGAAACTACTAAACTATCAAAATCTAACTATTTACAATGAAAAATAGTGGAAACCACTAAAACACTTAGCTCAAGATAAAGAGGGGAAGTTCCAACAGCTGAACAGGCAGTCAGAAGGGACCGAGGAGCGCGGGCTCAGCGGGGGCCCCCTATACCGGCACTATGCGTGTGTGGCGCCAGCACCAAGCCGACAAATACCACTAGGGGAAAAATCTCTGACAGTTGTGATCAGGGTGCTTGCACACTTAAATCAGAGTGAGCATGTGCAAAACAGCTCAAAGAAGAACTTTACCTTTTGGGTCGCCTTTGTTGGTTTCCTCTCCCTTCATTCCAAATTAAAGGATGAACCTTTTTTTTTTTTTTTTTAATGAAGGCTTCTCTTTTTCCACTGCATGCATCCGATGCAGTGAGCTGTAGCTCACGAAAGCTTGTGCTCAAATACATTGGTTAGTCTCTAAGGTGCCACAAGTCCTCCTTTTCTTTCTGGACAGCTGGACTCCAACTTCTTAAGTGGTACATCTGCTTAAGTTAAAAGACTGAACATTCCACAAGGTGGCGTTCTATAGAAGTGCCATATCACATCTACAAGCCTGATGGGTATCTGCTGTCAGTTTTCCTACCCACCCCCAAATTCTTCCAACTTCATGGAAGAGCTGCTTACTGCTGGTAATCTCTTCTTGCTCAGTCACACATCAGTGCTCCCTGCTCCACTTGTTACATATACCCAGAGTAGAGAGCTGAGCAAAAGAGCAGATATATGTATTTGAACAGAGCACTCCCCTGATTAGTGGCTAGTTTTTTTTTTTTACCTGGACCATATGTTTCTTGCAAAAATGGGAAGTCTGATCATGAGTACCTGAAGGTGTGAGGTACAGCCACAGTGTTTGCAGACATGGGAAGGCTGGGGAGTGCCCAGTCTGATCTCTTACCCTTCCCTGTTCTTCTTTCCTCCATTATCCCACTCTGTTGCATCTTCTTTTACCCTTCATCTTACCCTCTAGCTGTTTCCCTCCTTTCCTCTTTGTGCACTTCCCCATCCTGTTCTTCCATGGTGCTCTGACAGGCTGTTGTATATTGGGCCAGCACAGCAAATTTCAGAGTGAAATTAACTTCTCTGGTAAGCTTAATTTTCCATTGTGGAGAGGAGGCAAAGCCTGGCCTAAGTTGGTGGTATGACTGGACAGAGGGAGCTGTCAGGCTAACAAGATGTTAGGGAGAGCAAAACAATAGTCACTAATATAGAATGCTCAGCTCCATACTTGGTGGCTGTTTGCTAGTAAATGTCTCCTTCCCCAGTTTAGCCTTAATTTCCTCTCCCTCTTTAGATTTGGAGTGCATGATCCTTCCGTTGCTCAGTGTGTCAGCAGATGGGAAGGGTTTAGGCAGGGTCTTCAATAATCTGAGTAACTGACAGCTTTTTCCCTTCTTGCAGATGGAGTGTAAGGTTTAGCATAAGGAATTTCTTCCTTTTTGTCTGTGTGATGAAGAGATATGATATACTACAAAGCTATTTCACCACCGCTGAAAAAAACAATTTAGACTCTTTGGAAAGAAGTATTCCTTATTAATACATGCAGTATTGTGTGTGTCCATGTGAACACAGGGAGAAGGTAGGTCTTAAACTTTAGTGCTCCAGCAGGGTTCTTGTTATCTGCAGAGAAGTCAGTCATCCCATTCTGAAAGGCAAGCTGACTTTATTTCCAATTTCTCGTATCAGTTAACAATCTTATCTGAAGCAGGACAGTAAAATTTGGCAACTCCAACTGAATCCTTAAGCATTAAGAGAAATGTGATGCAAAATATGCTTAGTAATTTTAGACTTTAATAGCTAGAGGATATTAATAATCTAGAAAATTCTACAGAAATTTATTTAATTGCAATCCTTACCATTTTCCAATCCGTTTCAACCTTTCTCCATAGAGACTCAGTCTTCCACACACCTTCCTCCCAGCCAGTGATTTTTTCATTATTATTGGAAAGTCGTGTATAGCTGTCTTCCACTATATTGTAACTGAGGTGGAAGAGTTTAGAGGTCTTCTCTTTCCCAGATGGAATAAAAATGACTTCTTTTCTCCTCTGAACAAAACCAAAAACTATACATTGGTGTTTTGCGATGTATTTGAAGGGATCATGCTAATTTTATTTTTTCTTTTTTGTTTAGCATACACATCTGGCAAATATATATATTTGATAAAGTAGATCACCATGCCCTTAGCTATTCTATAAGCAGTACACCAAAGAGGTCCACAGTTCTTTATGAAAAACTGTATAGTAGCCAATTAAAAAATACTAGAATGTTTTTTTCATTGAAAAATGTTTGCCCCAACTTAGAAATTTTACATTACTTTGCTAGAATAAATATAAATCTTTCACAGAGAAAGGGGAAGTAAAGTATTCTAAAATAACTGAAACCATGAGTCTGTCTACAGTAAATAGTAGTTTACAAAAGATTTTTCATGTTCATGTATGACACGGGGCTGTAGGAATTAGGTGTGTTAAACAGATTTAACACACTGAGAAAAAAGCAAATTATTAAGCTATATTAAGAGAGCAAGCATAGCTCAATGACTAATGGTGAAAGCTGCAGCTAACTATAGCAATTTACAGAACAATGTCTTTCTAAATCTGATAGGGAAACAAAAATAAAGATCGGCTTTCAAAATTAAGGGTAAGTGTGAATTTGATAAAGATATTCAGAAAACAAGGGAAAATGGAGTATATGCACTTAAAAATTGATTTCTAATCATCCTTCATATCATGAGATTCAGTAAGACAGAAATAAAGTCCCCTAAAATATGTATAGTTGAAATAAACTCTAGTATCTCAAATCTGAACATTGCTATGAAATCCATTAGTTCCATTTAACTAGCTCTAATTCAGTATTTAGATTGTCATCCTCTTTACATCAAATGACAAGATCACTAGAAAAGGATGTGCAAAATGTTAGGAATAATTGATACCTTTGTGTACTGGCCTATCGAGAATGGTTGTTTTTAGGAAATTGTCTCTCCGCATAAGGAATTAAGAACATTAAAAACTCCATTTAGCCAAGAACCTTGAGGTGAGGGGGGATTATGTAAACATTAATTAATCTTACTTTGTGGGAGTTGCAGTTACACATTCACAGTGGGCCTTGATTTACATTTTATTCACAAAAAAAAGTTGGTAAAAAATTGCTCTCCAGCTTAATTAGATTCCCCAGAATTCTTGAGGAAATTGTCAACAACTTAATGTGTTGATTTCCCAAACACCTTAATTTCAGTTTTCTTAAATTTCCTGCTTTTGTTATGTTGTAGCTTTAATCAAAAGAATGTCAGTCATTAGCCTATAATTAAGAGACAAACAATTTAGACCCACCCCCCCCTAAAATGATCACCAGTTGACAAATTAAATACCTCTGAACCAATTTCACCTCTGGCTACTCTCCAAGCCATTGAACCAGATATCCTTCCACCAAGTTCACCAGGTTTAGGAGTTTTCGGAGAAATGAACTCAACAAGCTCCACAATTATCCTCTCCAGGAGCACTCTCTTTCTGCTTTCTGACAAGGATTGTTGTCTCTGTCATAATAAAAAAAAAGTGCAAAAAACCTCAAAGAAAAAATAATCTTTCAGATTAGTTCCAACTATATCTCAGCCCTGGAATGACACCATAAGGAAATAAACATGAAAGAATCTAGATTTAAACTGATTGTTAAAACATTAAACTGGGATCACGTGCATTAATATGCCTCAATCCTAATTGTATAGTTATTGCATGGCACTGTGCAGTGACTTTAAAAAATGTTTGAGTGCCTTAACTGCATATGTCCATACCTTAATCTGTTTGGGTTTCTTTTAAGGTAAATTCTAACTGAATTTCATGGGATTATAATGCATGTTTTTTGCATCATTAAAACATCCTTGTAATGTATTGTATTCTAAATTACTGATATGTAGTGTCAATCTTAATGTATTTTTTGTCTGGGAATAGAAAAAAGGCATGATTATTGGGTCAAGCCTTTCTTCTACACCGTGGACTGTTCCAGTTACCAGCAGTCTTGGTTTGGTGAATAAGTCTAAGCATAAAAATTACATAAAGGCTGAAAGAGTAGATTCACAATGATGCATGCCATTACAAATGCAGTATGAGTTGCATATTTTTAAGAAGCAACAGAATTGAGTAAAATCATGCCTTTACACTTCAAGATAAATCAAGTGAGCCTAAAGAAGTCTGGTATGTAGAACAAGAATTATTATATAACCTACTTTTACCATATGATTAAAAAGGGTGGGTTTTCTTGAGAAAATGTCTTTAAAATGCATTTGACTGACAGTCCATTTTTGTCTCAATGATTTCCATATCAAATATGCTAAGCTGACCTTTAACACTTCTTATTTCTTCATGGACAGTCCTGCAAGCAGCCTGAGAGTTGAGTCAGGCTGAGTTCTTCTCTCACAGCCAGTAAAAAAAGTTCTGCAAAATGAATTAGGCCCTCTCTTACAGCTATACAACCTTATGGTATTAAAATTATAGTCTCATTGAAGTTGTGCAAGTCAACTGTTTGCACAGGTATAATTGATTGAAATTAGACTTATCTGTTGATACACAAGAGAGAACAGAATCCAGCTCACTTTCTCTGCAGAGCCAACAGGAGTAAAAGGTAATAATTTCCTTTTCCCTAATCAAAGTAAGGAAATATGACTGACTATGCAGAGAACCGACTGGTATAACTAGGTGACACTTTTACACAGTTACTTCACAGAGGAGAACTGCACTTTAAGAATTCTCAACTGACAAAAATGCTATGCTGTGATTGGTCCTGAAGTGGTCTTATGTAAAATCACAAAGAATGTATAAATAGCAATATTTAATTTTTTTGTAGTACACAGAGACCTTTATCAGGACTGGGCTCCCTTGTCCAAGGAATTTACATAGTCTGTTTCCAATACATGTCATTTTAATAAATCAGTTGAGGTAAAGCTACGTACCAGTTTATTAAGCCTCTCTATGGTTTCACGCAATGCTGCTTCTTTGACTTGTGTCCTTCTAGAAAGTAATTCTTCGTGTTTACAGGAATATCTCCAGGTGACATCAACAACCTCAAGTATAAGTTGCAGAAGTTAAAAAAATACATATATATTCTGCCTCTTAAATATGTGTATTTTCAATAGACAACATGATCAAGAGACTGTCTTCCCTTACAATAATCTAGCAGATCCCATTAAAAGGTTTACTTTTCACAGCCTTCTTCTTTAAAAAAATTTTTTTTTTTTTTCTAATAAAATATTTTCCCCCCCCCCCCCCCCCCTCCCGGTGGTAAATAAATAAAAGAGAGGGCTTCCCCCCCCCCCCCTCTCAGAAAAAGGGGGTTGAAAAGAAGATCCACAAAAGGACAAAGAAGGCACCCCTCTCTGGTTTGATGAAAAAAACACCCCCCACCACACATCTTCTATGAGAGAGAGGAAAAAAAAAAAAAAAATTTTTTATTTTTGTTTTGGGTTCTGTTATTTTTAGATTTTTATTTCCTCTCCCCAACAAAAAAAAGGAAAGAGAAAAAAAAAAATTACTCCGGAGGGCATTCTGAGCCAAAACATAAAATTCTGTGCCAAAAAATTAAAAATTCTGCGCACAATATTTTAAAAATCTGCAAAATTCTGCAAGTTTTATTTGTCAATAAATAAATGTAGAGGCTCCAGCATGGCACTGGGGAGCACAGGCCACTGGCTGCACAAAGGTGGAAGATCATCGTGCAGTCCCCCCACCCCGGGGACACAGGCTTAGCAGTCAGGCTGCATCCTACCCTGACACAGCACAAGGCCTGGGCCTGCCCTAGAAACACCCTGAGGCCCTGCCCCTCTGCACCAGGCACACCAGGTGTGCGGCAGGCAGGCTCAACCAGGCAGGATCCAAGTATGGAGGGGCTCAGTGTGGGGGGATTAAGGATGTGTGGTAAGATTCTGTGTGGGACAATCTGAGTGCAGGCAGCTCAGTGGAGGATCTCGGTGTGTGGGTGGGTTTTCTGGATGCACAGACGCTTGTTGGAGGGGTTCCAGGTGCAGTGAAAATGGGACTTTGCAGGAGCTTCCAGGTGAAGGTGGTTGCAGCTCAGCAGAGGGGTCTGGGTGGCTGGGGGAGTCTGGGTCTGGGGCAGTGGGGCTAGTTGGGGCAGGGGTCAGTGGCAGTTTGGGGGTCAGTGGCATGGGGATGTGGCTCTGGGTGGTACAGGGGGTGGGGCATCAAGGTGGGGGTTTGAGGGCAGGGAGCTCAGTGAGGGGTGTCTGGATGCAGGGGTGGGGGGTCCAGAGACAGGGGGTCTGGGTGCATGGGGGCTCCAGATGGAGGGGTTGAGGTTCAGTGGGGTGGGGTTTGGGTATGGAGGGCTAGGGGGGTTCTGGATGTACCCGGTGAGGCTAGGCAGGGGTATCTGGGTTTGGGACGTCTGGATGAACAAGGATTGGGTGGATGGTGGAGCAGGTCCCCATACAGTGACCCATCCCCCCACAGCTGAGGAGCAATGGGGGGAGGAAGTCAGGGAGAATGCTGAGCTTCCTGCAGCTGGGGGAGCTTTCTGGGGGTGGATCTGACACAGCCATGGCAACTCCTCACAGAGGAAGAGGAAGTCCTGTTCTCTCCTGCCTCCAGCCCAGCCGGGACTAGCAGTTCAGGGTAGGAGCCACTGGCTAGCATGTCCCCAGCCCCGAGGAGATTTACTTTTCTGCTGGCTGCGCTGAGTGCCTGAAACAATGTACCTGCACTGCTAGGGAGTGATGAGTGGCTGCTCTTACAGCTTCACTTTGCTTCCCTGTCAGAAAATTATTTTTCTGTGGGGAAGCAAAGAAATCTGCAGGGCACATGAATTCTGGACACGCACAGTGGCACAGAATTCCCCCAGGAGTAAAACAGGAACGGGGGGGTAAAAAAAAAATTTAGGATTAAAAATAATGAACACACAGATCTAATGATTTTGTAAGTCCCATTTTTATGCATGCTTATACTAAGTTTAAGGTGTTCTAGAGCATTGATACCTGTTGAATCCCAGACATATCTAGCTTCAAATCCTATAGCTCTGCAGCACAGTGTAAAACAGTTAGCCCACTCTCCACAACGCCCACGTCTTGTTTCCAGAAGTTTCTCAGGATTATTATACCTAAAAAAATTAAACATTATTCATTGTAAATTATGTGCTTTCTACCAGTTAATGGACTTTAACAGGAATATATATTTTCTCCTTCCAAATCTTTGAACCATTATACAGTAGAACCTCAGAGTTATGTACACGAGAGTTATGAAATGATTGATCAACCACACACCTCATTTGGAACTGGAAGTATGCAATCAGGCAGCAGCAGAGACAAAAAGAAAAATACAGTACAATACTGTATTGAATGTAAACTACTAGAAATAAAGAAAAGTTTTAAATTTTTTTGGACAAGGTAAGGAAACTGTTTCTGTGTTTGTTTCATTTAAATTAAGATGGTTAAAAGCAGCCTTTTTCTTCTGCGTAGTAAAGTTTCAAAGTTGTATTAAGTCAATGTTCAGTTGTAAACTTTTGAAAGAACAACCATAACATTTTGCTCAGAGTTCATAATTCTGAGGTTCGACTGTAGTCCTCCCATCTGTTCTCAGTGCCATTGATTTCACACTAGTTGCTGAAGATGATTGTAGCACTGGACAAAATTAACATTTGGATGACCATCTCCTTGCTTCTAAGAGAGCTAAAATTCTTATTTTAAAAAACTCAACTGAAGTAGGATTTGTGTACCCTAACCTCATTAACAGATGTCAGCACAATTCTGAAATTAGTACATATCTGCTGCTACAGTCAGCAGAAGTATGCCCTCTTTTGTGGGCTCCCCAAGAAAGTGCAATGGTTTATTTATTTCTTTTTAAAAATCACCTTGATAATGGCATATATATTAATTAAAATAATTATATACAGAAAATGTACTTGGTAAGATCAGTCAAAGATACTCTGTTTAAAAACAGGGCCCTCTTTTTAAATGCAATAATTTTTTTAAAATTAAGCATTCTAGGCTGATTGGTGATAAAATATAAATATCGGCGCCCACAACAATCCCATGGTACTCTTTAAAATGATCTATGTATGTATTACAGTAGGGTTTTCAATCTATGTAAAACAAAATACAAGCAATGGTCTCCCAATAATTTACAGAATACACAAATACAAAGTAGCATTTTAGAAAATCCAAGGTTATGCTTACCTTGGGAATCTATTGCTGAACTGGCACTGGTTACAGTGATGATTTTCAACTCTGTTTGCATTCCATCTCAGATCTTCATCATTAGGTGGTAAGAGACCTTTAGGCTCTGTCTGACCACCACATTTGCTGCAAGCAAGGTTATTCACCCACTGAAAAAATTCACCCTTAAACCACTGCAAGAGCTCCAACAACAAAAAATCATCTTCATTCACATGGGTTCCTATAATATTAAAACATAGTAATTCAAACAAGATTAACCAAGTTCAGATTCATTTGACCTTTCCAATATCTACATAATTACTATATCTGGACCTTTATCATAACTAGAGTTGAAGTATCAACCAAGACATTATTATATAGATGCTATTTTTTAAAAAATAAGATTTTAAAGATTGAATAATGGTAAATCATATTTTAAAAACAAGACAAACAGCCAAAAAGAAATTTAGAATAAGGAATTGAACAGAAAAGGATTGAATACAGAGAAATTTAGCATAGAACATAATAACTCTTATATTTTTCCAGAGGTATGGAATAGCTTCTAATCAACAAATAACAATTGTTTTGACTCCAAAATCCCAAAGGTTTTTTTTTACCAGAAGCTAGTGGCAGTATAGCCAAATATCTCTAGTATGAACAGACTTTTATAAATTGTACAGAACAGTGCATATTTTCCAATAATTAAGGTTTGTGAACTACGTTTTGATTTCATTCATAATTATTAAGCAAATGTGTCCTTTCAGTTCAACTTCTCCAAACTAGACATTTGCTCTCTGGCCCCATATCTTTCTGTTGTCCAGCCAGTTCCCCTATGCTTGAATAACAGACTCTTCTGTCCTGTTCTTCTGTCTATTTGCAGCAGGTTGTAGAGCCTTCTTTCCTACAGTTATGAGAAGGAGTAAATAACACTTCTTTATTTACTTACCATCTGGAACAGCCTCATTGCACCTAACTGACTGATTTTTAAAATCCAATATTGAGACCCATCTCTTCTTTGTTCTGATTCCTTACCACCTTTAACTTAAAAATATTTTGAATACTATACCCTGAGTCTTCCTCTCTCCCCCATTCATAAATGTTCTCCATAAATCTGACATTTGCTCCTTCATAATCTAGATCACATCACAGTCACAGACGTTAATGCCTATACGATATTTTATTTGTTTGCTTGTAGTTTGCATTTACAAACTGGACTAGCTGTAATATGATATTTTTATAACAACATGCTATACAAAACCAAAGTCGCACTATATTTTCAACATTCTGAAAAAAAGATGTGATGTGCAGAGATAATCCAGGGTGATGAACTAGAGTGACTCATATTAAATGAGGATCTTTTAATACAGCTCCCGGGAAGCAGACGGCATGACCCTGCTCCAGCTCCTACATAGTATACGGAGGCACGGCCAGGCGGCTCTGCGCGCTGCCCCATCTGCAGGCGCTGCCCTGGCTGCGGTTCCCGGACAATGGGAGCTGTGGGAGCAGCCCCTGTGGACAGGGCAGCACGTAGAGCCGCCTGGCTGCGCCTCCACATAGGAGCTGGAGAGTGGACATGCTTCCGAGAGCTGCTTGAGGTAAGCGGTGCCTGGAGCCTGCACCCGAGGCCCCTCTGCACCCCAATCTCCTGCCCTGATCCCCCTCCCTCCCTCTGAACCCCTCGATCCCAGCCTGCAGCACCCTCCTGCACCTGAAACACCTCATCCCCAGCCCCACCGCAAAGCCCGCACCCCCAGTCGGAGCCCTCACACCCCATCCCATACCCTAACCCCCTGCCCCAGCTTTGATCCGTCTCCCGCCCTCCGAACCTCTCAGTCTCAGCCTGGAGCACCCTCCTGCACCCCAAACAGAACAAAGGGCAATGGTCTCAAGTTGCAGTGGGGGAGGTCTAGGCTGGATATTAGGAAACACTATTTCACTAGGAGGGTGGTGAAGCACTGGAATGGGTTACCTATGAAGGTGGCAGAATCTCCATCCTTAGAGGTTTCTAAGGCCTAGCTTGACAAAGCCCTGGCTGGGATGATTTAGTTGGGATGGGTCCTGCTTTGAACAGGGGGTTGGACTAGATGACCTCCTGAGGTCTCTTCCAATCCTAATCTTCTGTGATTCTATGAATCATTAAGAAAGGGATAAATAATAAGACAGAAAATATCATATTGCTTCTATATGAATCCATGGTACATCCACATCTTGAATACTGCATGCTGATTTCCATGCATGTTGCCCCATCTCAAAAAGATGTATTGGAATTGGAAAAGGTTCAGTAAAGAGAAACAAAAATGACTAGTGGTATGGACCAGCTTCCATATGAGGAGAGATAAATAAGATTGGGACTTTTCAGCTTGGAAAAGAGATGACTAAGGGGGGATATGATAGAAGTCTATAAAATCATGACTGGTGTGGAGAAAGTAAATAAGGAAGTGTTATTTACTCCTTCTCATAACACAAGAACTAGAGGTCATCACATGAAATTAATATGCAGCAGACTTAAAACAAATAAAAGGAAGTATTTCTTCACACAACGCACAGCCAACCTGTGGAACTTCTTGCCAGAGGATGTTGTGAAGGCCAAGACTATAACAGGGTTCAAAAAAGAACTAGATAAATTCATGGAGGATAGGTTCGTAAGTGGCTATTAGCCAGGATGTCAGGAATGGTGCCTCTGTTTGCCAGAAGCTGGGAATGGGCGACAGGGGATGGATCACTTGATGATTACCTGTTCTGTTCATCCCCTCTGGGGCACCTGGCACTGGCCACTGTCGGAAGACAGGATACTGGACCTTTTTAGCATTATACAAATTTAAAATGTTCCATAAATGATTCAACAGAAATAGCATCTATTGCTTATATACTGGATATGCTTTGTGTCTATTTTACTGCTACCTTTTCTCTGAACTGTCTGCCAGAAACTAAATGAGGTAATTTCAATCAAAGGACAATTTTTCTTTCTGTTGGTTAGTGGTGAATACAATGATGCCCCTCTATGGAAAGAAAATTGCTACTATTACATAAATATTCTTCTCTGGGTTCATAAAGTACATCCTGCATGAAAGGCTCAGCACAAAAATGATGACAAATATGATCTGTTTCAACAAGAAATGATTGTTTGAAAATACCCAGATATCACAAAAGTTAAAAGTATACATAATTCTGGTCAATTTACATTGCTAATGGCAGGTGGCCAATGAAGATGAAGACAAGCATTGTAATCTCTTGTTCAAATGACCATAACTTTATCAGGGTGGTCTTTATGAGCCAAAATGTCTATGACTTTGACTTGTTCTTCAAAATCCCAAAGGTTTTTTGGATCTGCCTGTAATAACTGTTCTCCAACAGCACTGGTAATTTCTCCAGGAGGCTGTCTTAATACAACAGTGACAGATTTACAAGGAAACAAGCAAGGTAGATTATTTCCTAGCAACAGTAGCTACTCCCTTCCATACAGCCCATTCTCAATGGAGTCTCTTTCCATACAGCTTTTAAAATTAAAGTTAACACACTACCTCTGCATTTAAGTTGTCATTGCCTAACAAATGGCAAAGTTTTCCCTATACTCTTTTACACCTGAGTTTAAGGTGCGAGGTCTGAAACCTTGAGTGCCGCTTTTGACACATCAGCGGTAGAGGCTGGGGTCACATGAACACAAGCCCCATCCCCCTTAAAGAAGATGGATAAAAATCATTACTTTAAAAAAATATCAAAAACATCAATTTTTTTTGGTTTAAATCAACTTTTTAAAGTTAAATAATATTTCTTGTTTACATATTACTAGTTAGTTCTTTATCTCCATTTTAGTCTCAAATTGTTTTGTAGTAATTTCTTTATTTCCTAATTGTTAGAAGAATTTCAAAATTTACATAGTGATTTTTTTCTTTTAGGTAATTCCATACTTTAAATGCTCAGTGAAAACATTTTAGTATTATTATTATGAGAACACAATCTCAAACATAAAACTGATAAGTGAATACCCCATCCTATATTTGTAGGGCCCTACCAAATTCACGCTCCATTGTGGTCAATTTCACGGTCATGGGATTTTAAAAATAGCAAATTTCATGATTTCAGCTATTTAAATCTGAAATTTCACTGTGTAATTTTAGGGGTCCTGACCCGAAAAGGAGTTGGGAGGGGTCAAAAGGTTATTGTAGGGGGAGGGTTGTGGTACTGCTACCCTTATTTCTGCACCGCTGCTGGTGGCATTGCTGCCTTCAGAACTGGGCAGCTGGAGAGCAGTGGCTGCTGGCTGGGAGCCCAGCTCTGAAGGTAGAGTTGCCACCAGCAGCAGTGCAGAAGTAAGGATGGCATGGGATGGCATTGCCACCCTTACTTCTGCACTGCTGCCTGCAGAGCTGGGCTCTTGGCCAGCGGTTGCCACCCTCCAGACGCCCAGCTCTGAAGACAGCAGCGCAGAAGTAAGGGTGGCATGGTATGATATGGTATTGCCACCCTTACTTCTGCACTGCTGCTGGCGGTGCTGCCTTCAGAGCTGAGTGCCCGGCCAACATCTGCTGCTCTCCATCCGCCCAGCTCTGAAGGCAACGCAGAAGTAAGGGTGGCAATACCATGACCCCCTGCAACTCCCTTTTGGGTCAGGACCTCCTCTATGAGAAACACTGGTCTCTCCCATAAAATCTATGTAGTATAGGGTAAAAGCACACAAAAGACCAGATTTCATGGGGAGAGTCCAGATTTCACAGTCCATGACGCATTTTTCATGGTCGTGAATTTGGTAGGGCCCTATGTATTTGTAACCAACATAACCTTGTAAAATACTTAACTTCCACAAGTAAAGAAAGCTGAAATTCTCTGATACTCTTCCATCAGGGTATGCAGTTTGAAGTCAATAGGACTTCGGAACACAAGTCACTATGTTACTTTTGAAAATCCCACCTTTTGGTGCCTAAATCTGGGTATAGAAGGCTAATTTTACACTCCGTTTTTTGGAATTTTTTGGCTCGTGTGCATAAAAATTCAAAATAAATTTCTTAACGTCTTGAAAGTCTAACTGAAGCAATTTTGCTTTGAAGTGAGAAAGATTTTATGCCACAAAGAGTAGTTTTTTATTAAAAATACAGTTTTAGATCCTGATGCTGCAAACACTTATGCACATGCTTCACTTTAGGCAGGTAATCAAAAGGATTATTCATGTGAGTGAAGTCACATACTTGTTTGCAGGATCAAGGCCTTAACTTCCATTATTTTGGTTTTTGCATATTGTACTTCTATACAATTTAGAAAAGACACACTACCAAAAGTGGTGTTTTAAAAAAGAAACAGCATTTGGAATATAGTTCATTATACATTTTCAAGTAAAGTTAAAATAGTACAAGTTTTCAAATTAATTGTACACTGGCTCAAGACGACATGAATCAATTATTTAAAAATATAAACAATTACAAATACAATCAATTATTTAAATTGCTCTGCCTTTCCTTAAAACATACATACATTTATTATCTTCATTCTACTCCAGATGCAAGCAGCTAAGTAATATGTACAGAATCCTGCTGCCTCTGATGCTATTTGCTGCTAGTTCAGAAATCTGGATTCAAGTAAATTTCCTTTGCTCTCTCTTCCCTCCCCCCTTCCCCAGCCATGAACAGATGGACAGCAGATGGACATAAAAGAAAAGCATGCAAAGGAAGAGAAAATACAAAATTTAAGATATCAGTGCACAGTGGATGAGGAGAGGAAGGTGAGAATGGAAGACAGGACAGAGGGTTAATAAATTTAAGAAATGGTTCAGCTGAACTGAATTTATGAAACCTCTCAAAGACCCATCTGTACAGAATACAGGACTTTGCTTCAGCCCTGTGCACACATGAATTTTAAATGCATATGATGCGCTGGTACTCAACAGATTAACCTGAAGGACCGAAGAAATGTGAGCCTCAAAATTTTATCTAATGTGATTTTAAACAAAGAAAACAAACCTAAACTAAGAATTAGCATTAATTCTCCAAGCACTTTTCTTTTTTGACTAAGCAGATAAACTAACTGAATAAGATGGCATACTACATACATTCTGAATACTAGTGTAGTTTAAAACTAGTACTCTGAACTCACAAAAATATAATGACAATCCTAGTCTATAAACATGCACATTACGCCAAATGTTTAACCTAGTATTTTAGTGTCTCATAAATTGTCAGAACTAATACCTTCATCCACTTTTTTGGCTTGTGCTAACTTTTCTTGAGCTTTCTCTTTCAATGCTTGGACTGGAATAGAAGCCAATGCTTTCTTTTGAAGAGACTGGTTCTCATACACTTGCACATGCTGAAAATTTGATTGAAGGGTTTTAAAGAAGATTGTTTCAGACTCCTAATATGGAAAAAATATAGGTATTATTACAATCTATGCAAACCATTTTCTAATAATTGGATGATTTCAAAACATCTGATCTTGGTTCATTAATGTGTAAGCTTGTTTGCATATTTATTATGGAGTTTCTGATCATGACTCCATAGTTAAGGTTGCATTACAGATTTCAGTTAAAAGGAGTTTTAAACTGTAAAAATATGAATAACATGGCTAAAACTAAAACATAGAATGTAAACTTTGAGCATGATTTGAATTTTTCATGATGGTGTGATTGAAAAATGGACTGACAGAAAGAAGTAAGAACTCAAAAATTGCCCCTTTTGGGCAATTTTTCACTGCATTGTCTCACTTTTCTTTGTATGCCCTTTCCAAAGAATCTAAAATACTCAGATTATGGGATCTGTCCCTTGTGCATACTGTTGCCCCTCATGTGCTGATTCCTGGAATATCAGTTAAACATAGCTATGCTTGACTAGAGAGCATTTTGTAACTTTTTAGCCATAATTGAAAATTTATGTATCAAGCTGAAGCTGCTGAATTTGACAACATAGCAGCCCCGGCCAAAGAGTGGGGTGAAAGAGAGTGAGTTAGCATACCTCTATACCCTAGGGGATAATTCCCTGAACTAGGAAGGAGGAGACCAAGAATTTAAAGCTAACTGTCCTTTGTATTTCCATGCAAGTCACAACCAGCAAAAAGCTGCTGAAAAAACCTTTATTGGAGGTAGTCATGCCTATTGTTAAGGCTTCTGAGCACTTCTTGTTATACGAGCCTGAGTGCTGGAGTGAGACTCAGGAGACCTGGATTCTAACCCCAGATCTCCCACCCTCAGCTTGTTCACTGTAGCACACTGCCTTTCAGACTGACTAAACCAGTTTCAGTTACTGTATTTCTAACCACTATGATTGCACTCCCCTCTTGTTGGGATTCCCTCTGAGACCTCCTTCCACTTGGCTTTCCTAGAACTTAGTTCAACTTCAGAGTCTGTCACTCATATTTTTATTTGGCATACAGCAAAGCTACGCTGAGTTAATCACACTCAAGCGTAGTGGGTGTGTATAGGGCATACGACACACCCAAAGTTACACTGCAAACCTCTTCCTTTATATACATTTACACATTATATTGCATTTTGCTATACAGTGCATCAGATGTTTTGGGATTGGCTTGGGACAGCACACACTGTCCATACATGACTTACTCTTTACCTCATCTTATATTCCAGGCTCATTTTAGTTATTGTTATTTTATCCATTATAAATGGTTTCCTGGGTTTCCCCCTTGTTTTAACTAGTACAGACATTCTGCTTTCAGCCTACTGATAATACTGTCTCCCAAAAAATGAGGCCTCACCCATGTCCAATTAGTCATGTCAAGCCAGGTCTACACTTTTCAGAGCCAAGAACAGAATCCAGGATTCCTGATCATCAATATTCTACTGCTGACTAGTAAACAGTTGTGTAAGCCACTCAGAAAGCACATGTCAAGTTCTTATTCAGTGGCTAATCCACAAAGTGGCTAGCAATTATTAGCATAGCTCAAACAGTAATTGGCCTAAGCTAGCAATTTGAAGATCAAGGGGTTCAAAGCCTGCTACTGATTTATGCGGGCAGATGGCTCTGTGTGGTTCACAGAGTGAAAAGACTTCTTTTAAACTTTGTACTTAAATACAATCTATACATTATGGTGGGAATCAACAAAATATACGTGTCACATTTCAGCTGTTTGTCACACATTTTGCTTGTATGATGCACTTGTCGATGTGCGGGTTGTGTGCCTCTCCATGCCCGAGGCTCCGAATCTGATAGCTCTGAAATTCAGAGGCTAGTTCTTTAGCATAAACGCTAACAGTTCATGTTTTTAGCTCTGGAGTTCAGCCCTGGTGTCAATCACAGTGGTGGCTGTCACATATTGGCAGGTTTGAAGGTTGAGGAGCATGCTTCAGGAGGGTCAACGTAGTCAGGGGCACCTTAACAGCACAGCTTCTCTTTTCAATTCCCAAGCAGGTGCAGCTCCCTTTCTCCCTACTTCTTGGTAGCTATCCACTGAGGTACCCTAAAGCCTATATAAAAAACCTAAGAAATCAACTAACAAAAGTAATTTTTAGTAGCAATTAAGGACACACCCCAGCCACTTAAAACCTTAAAAGCATGGATATAAGAAATTAAGGTAGAATGCTCTTGTATGCTCTGCCACCTTCGTTACCTACAACACAGTTGATAATGGACTCCAACACACCATAAGACTTTCACTTGCTCATCCAACAAATACCCAAAAGCAATATACGTCCCAACTTCATCAAACCTGCACTCTCAGGGATATGCATGTTATAGGCATTAGTAACAACTTTACTAATTTTCTTTCTCATCACCAGGGAGAAAGGTGTTTGACAGTTACTCTAAAAGCAAGGCTAAAGCCTACATCAAGGCCAGCATAGTCCGAGATCTGAGGTGCAAGCGATTTGGCATTGACAAAAGTGGTTCATGGCCATTGCCACAGTCACAATGGATAGGCTTTACATACTTCTTCCTTTCTGAGAAAGAGCTCAGATTAGAGGTCCATTTTGCCATATTGTATGAAGGAAATAGGAATGGGACGTAAGGAGCATGACCTTGCTCATTTCTGATAGGGCCCCTGACCTGGCCACTATGCCCTCTGGTGCACAAATTATGGAGTACCTCAAGATTTGATAGGGGGTCATTCATCAGTTGATGCAGAACTCATATAAGTATCAGGGCATACAGATATTCATATCCTTCTGTTTCTTCTATGTGTTGTGTGGGGTAGGGAGAAGCTTACTGGGGTAATGGTGGGAAACTATCAAGCTTAACATTGCATTTTCAAGCCATCTCTTTTGGCTCAGGAACTGCCAACAGGGCTTGGGACTGGTCTCATCTGGTACCATCCAGCTGCTAGATTTGAGACTTTAATTCCCCCTTCCTGCCGTGCACATTTACTAACAATGAAGGATCAACACTGAATTAGCCTGCGTGGCAATTCCCATATTGTCTACTTTAGCCTTCCTCCCCCCACAACAACCTTATGTTTTGTGTGGGCTGTTCACATCCTTCCTTTCTCCTCTCCCAGCCCCAATAAAAACCAAACAAATAAATAACCCATACATAAATTTAATTAAAAATGTTCACATTAAAAAAAATGAACAAAAACAAAACTGGAGATGGATATTTGAATGACTAATTTCAGCATGCTTTTGGACTTCAGACTTGTGTTCTTGTGCCTCAACATCTATGGTGTCTTTGCTGAGATGCTCCTTCCTTATTTCACATTTGCTGTCAGATTGCATCTGTTGCTTCCCCTCTTTTGTATAGCTTTTTTATGACTCTGCAGGAAGGAATGATGTTGAATCGAAGGCTCCTCCTTCAGTAAGGATTATAGGGCACAGTATGCTCCAGGGGGCTTTCAAGAGGGTAGCAATTTATTGGCCTGCATCATAGATGGCCTTCACCTGGGGGAAATAGTTAATTTTAGTGTATGACCAACTGATCTACAAGCTTCAGCATCTGCTCTAGCTCATATACATTAAACCTCACTGTCCCTTGGCTTACAGACATCAATGTGGTTGTGGACAAGGACATTTATGCTACTAATTTAAGACAAGTGGGTCTGCCACCTCCGCTGAAAAAGGCTGTTACATCATCTGTACTACTCTGTTAGGCAATCTGCTGTTAGTTTTGTTAGATACAGGCAGACTGGTAGTTGCCTGATCAAAAATATCAAGTTATGAAAGCTTTTTGCCCATTCAGCCAGGAGCTGTGGATGTTGATGCAGAAGAGCATCCCTTCCAATTACCTCCAACTATTGGGTCCAAATGAAGTACATCTCTTGGATGTTGGGAGCTGATGTCGTTATTTCCATGGTCTGTTTCAGTGCAATATTCTACTGTTTCTCTTTTTGGCTTTTATATGTAGCTACAATCCAACTTCTACAAACTTATTCTGTGTCGTATCCATAGAATTATATATTCCTGAAGTTACCTGTTTGTCCTAACTTCTCCTTAATGATTTTGTTCAGTTTGGCTGTTTCCTAGGAAAATTCTGTCCTGAGTTATTGGGATCACTTTAAACCTAAAGCCCTATGTAACAGGGTGGTTTGCTTCTTTAAGGGTCAGAGAGTCTGGGGCCAGAGGCCCTTTAAAAACAGGTGTTTGGGCCTTATAGAGGGGATTATCAGACCCAGCTGGGAAGGAGTCAGGTGACAGTTTGATGAGCAGTTGATTCCCATAAAGGCTGAAAGAGCTCAGTTGAGGAGAACTATAGAAGCAAGTTGGTGCTTGTGCTGGGGGATGCCTAAGCAGACTGTTTCTAGACTGGAGAAGAGCTGCCAGGAGGGACGCCTGTGGGTCAGGGGAAAGGTTGAACTGCTTTTTTGGGGAGGTCTGCTAAAGACTGTCAATACAACCACTAAACAGTGCCCTGAATAGACGCTAGGTGGGGCATTAATCCTTTCTGGGATGGGGAGACAAGCCAACAGACTACACACTAAGACTCTTTAATAAGGTATCTAGATTACAGATGTTGTTCGTGTCTGGACTGTATGAGTATTCACAAAGCACTCATTAAACTCTCTGTCACAGCATGCACTAGGCTCACTGCTAAAACTAGAAGTAACTTGGGGCAATCACTTCTTCAATTGTTCCGAAGTCTTGGTAAGTAATCTGGAGGGGATAGTCCCTGGACGTTATAGGCAGCAGCAGTTTCTCCCTACAGAATGGAATTTAGAAGTTTACCAAAGCAAGCTAATGAGCTCTAAGTCCTGTGCAGTCAGATCTGATTCTCAGCTGCCATTCAGTGTTCCACTGACTAAGATGTAAACTTCTGGCAAAAATTACGCCAGTCAGGAGCCCCTGGCTCTAAATAGTGCTGAAGTGGATTATCTGGATTTGAGCCGTTGGACATCTTGCATTGGCTTTCATCTGTTCTGAATGACTTACAACCAGATTTGCATTCCATAGCATGTGGAAGCACGGTTGATGCCTCCAA